GTTTCGAAGAATGCAAGCACCGAGATATCTTCATTCATATTTGCGGCGGCTACATATAAACCGGCGTGAGCCTACTCTCACAATTTTTACTGCTGGCCAAGTACAGCGAACTGAAGGTGGACTCACCGTCCCCCTTCAGTTCGCTGTTCCATTTCATTGACGTGGCCGCAGGCGTCAGCTTAACGCCTGGAGGGTGTGCTGGTTAGTCTGCTTCTGGTGACGTCAAAGAAATTACAGATGGTTACGTCAGCAACATGACATTACAGCTAGAACTGTCACCCACTAAACAAAGCACTGTACAAGAGGCACAATACATCGTACTCTTCGCAAGGCTTGCCAAGAACTATGAAAATCGTACTCGCTGCGTCATAGTGGTGGTCTCCTTTTCCTTTAACAGACACGTCTTGCACACGCTTATATTTATAATAAACAGTCGACAATCTAATGAGACATCTCTAAATGTATGCATGACACCCCGGAACATGTGTTTGCTCATTCGTAACTTCAAAATTCCCTAGCAGATGCGCTTGTGACGAAATATTTCATCGTATGGAACGCGGCAAAAGTTCTACACGGACTGGTGCAGTGGAAACTATAGTATAATATTCAACTACGGTGACAGTGATGGTCATGGTGAACGCAAAAATTAATCATTAATGTTCTCATGGCTGTTGCGTATTGCAATAAATTCTACAGAATGAAAAGCGTTCTAGCCTGTGACTTCCTAGCTACTGATACTAATTTAAAAATCAACGAGCATGATTGGTATCTAATGAATAGCAAACTATAAACACAGCATATGAAAACACATACAACAATGTCTTGAGGAATAAATAAGAAGTAATTATTCAACCATTCGTAATTCACTATTCCCCATGTCATCGAACAGGAAGCAGCGATCGCAAAAGAATGCATACGTGACACTCGCACGAATTCGAAAGCGTATGGTGAAACTTTTGTGCTGATCATTCAAGCATTAAGAGTGACAATCATCAAACTACTTATTCGCCCACAGTACCACGGCCAAGCTGGGAACAGAGCTTTTGTAAATAAAAAAAACATGAAAAGTTGGCCCCGAATCTGCATGTTACACTGCAAATGTCATCGAAAGACGAGAGTCTTGCGTCTGAAGAGAGTGAACAAAACGTTTATTTTATGCTCTGCACAAGAAAATTTGTGAATGATATTTTAGAGGCGCTGCGTTAGTGCCTCGAGCTTGTAGCGTCGGCGAACAAGCGCATCGAGACACGTTAGACACGAGTTCCATCTGGCAGTTCAAAAACGAAGGAAGCCATGCGCGCCCGCGGAGAAAGATGCGGACCTGTCTCGGAGGTGATAAGGTGTAGAACGCAAATCAACGGGCAAGTAAGTGCCACCTCCGTGATGTCTTAGCAAAGCGTGCAAAGCACTTACCTTTTTGAGCATCACGTTGCACTGTCAGTGTAGCGTGATTAACCTTACGGTCATCATAATTACTTGTGTGTGCCTTCTTTAGTATAAATGCACACATACAAAACATCCACGTGTTGTTACGATGCCTCAGATATGCGCAATAATTGCTTTTTAATTGACAATCGTTTAAATATGAACGCTGAATCTTGAGCAATATTGGTGGGCGCTGCGGATGGGGTTGGCCGTTAAGTGCCAAGGTATCGGTAAGAGTGGACAAACAGACAAATGTACAAACAGACAAACCAACCAATAGTTTTCCGTCGAAGGTCCCCAAGAAAGACTATCGTCTTTAATAAAACAACACCAGTGCCTTGCGAAGCCTCTATAAACAAAACTAAAGAAGAAAGCAGGTGAAAAGCTGATAGAAATATTTCCTATGCGCAGCATGTTATAGTAGCTACATGTGCCAAATCATAATGACATGGGTCACACAGTAGTGGAAGTACGGCTCTGTTCATATATGTGAAAGAAAGTATTTATAATACGCTATTCCTCACACAGCGCCTTCTTTGGTGAATTGAAATCTGGAGCGGAGCCCACACATTATTCTGATAATAAGCCCGCCAAAGGCGCAATGAAATTACATATACACTGCGTAATATTCTCAAAATATTAGCCAAGGCTGTAGGCTAGGAAAGCGGCAGCAGCTCTTTACATAAACATCCAAGGGCCGGTTCATGGTTTTCAGACTAGAAGTTCCTTCATAGATCATGTCCTCTTGCACTGCTGGACAAGACGGAGCATTTCAAAAAACTAAACGGAACTGCAGCAGACAGTCTGCGTCGAGCAAAACTGGATTAGCCTCTTGCAAAACAAGACACCATTTTACGCGAACGTGCTTGGCAGGGTCTAGGGCTGTACACGATTCGATACCTGTATTAAAGTAGTACACCGCGCGAAGTAATGCGGCACGCTGCAAGATAATTGCCGAAGAGCGCGTCCGCAAGGATGAGCTGCTACGTGACAGTTTTTTCTCATGAGGTCACTTGCGAATGGGCTCCCCTTTCGACGAAGAATTTGGTCTTAACTTTGACTCTCAGAAGGAGCCAGTTAGTACGTGTGGGCTACAGATGGCTTTGCCCACTGCTTAAGGCTGGAAGATGCCGCCACAGGTAGGTGGACGGGCCAGACGAAGATAACGGGTTCCAATGAATACCAGAGACTGGATTTAAAAGGATGAGGAGAAAACTGTGGGGGAGGGCAAAGTGATAGGTATAAGTAGGAAGGACTCACTGGGTGTTTCGTTGTCGAGTTCGTTCGGACACAAGATCACCAGGTGAGTCATCTGCTCACGTGGGATTCTAACAGCCACAACTGAAACCTCATGACAGTGAAGTGCCATTCCAAGACTTGCCGCCAAAGTGCACCTGATGTTGTTCTGGAGGATGTGCCAGTGGAATGCTACTTTTGTTCTTCATTGTAAAGCTGTCGAATGGTACTACTAAGGTCGTTCTGTTTGTGCTGAAGCTGACCGCTTTGGCGCAACTTTCTGGTAGTCTGGTTTATCAAAAATGCCCATGGAACCTGGCAACAGAACCTCAGTCGCTGGCATTACTCCGTGACTTGCCGTTTTCACGTTTTAATATAGCACATTCTGTGATAAAAAAGTGAAGGCTAATTACCAAACTTTTCGGAAAAACTCCTTAGGCAAAAGTACATGCCAGGAAACGGTGTCTTTTTAGATCCCACTAATATGGTTCGATCAGCTTGTGTGCATGCTAAGTCGTGATCACCATTTCGTTTTTGCTATCACTAAGTGTGACGCAAGGTGGCCTGTCTAATTTTTCAACCAAGATCATTGAAAATACAGCAATTTTATCATGTTATTGAGCAGACAATTATTTATAAACAAAAATAACTGTAGAGAATTCCCAAGCCAACAACGGGCATTAGTAAAAACCATGCGCTGGTATTCCACTGGGGCCCTTGATTCTATGGTCCTTCTGTGATTTTTGCCCACGCCGCTGACTTATTTTGCCCACCGGTGCCTGCTGCTGCCATCGTCGCCACTTCTAACGCTCTCTCGCTCGGGTAGTCAGTGAGTTAAGTCACGGCACAGCATATAAACTGAACAAACCACTGCACATTTTCCTACATAATTGCTTCCTCACTATAAAAATTACAGTTATATCGAGTGTGTTCGTGCACCACATTGTTCCATTCCTATTTAGCACCAATTCGAGTCAATCAAGTTTGATATTTCAGGAACCTCGTGGTACAATTCAGGTGCGAAAGCGCATTTTCGTATTCTTGAGCGAACAGTTAGTGATGACAGCTTTGGTAATTACAAATACACTTGGCAAATTTCTGAAATGTGTGACGAAAAGAAGACTGTTTGCTTATTAGCCGTGCGTTTTTTTTTTTGCATGTAGCCACGAACCAGAACTATGAAGGCTGTTGCTCTCCTCCTCCTGGGTAAGTTTCGTACGCGTAGAGATGATCATCGACTCTTTTGGAATCTAATACGAATACGACAGACAATATAAGGAACGTTGTTTAACAACACTTTAACTGAAAGCACCATTCAGTCCCGATGAAGCACGGAATTGCATACCAGGCATTTCAACATATGTACTCGTAGACACATATATTTCAACTCGTAGAGGACAATGTTGTTACTATGGCTGTAAGACCCCTCATTTTTACATGAAGTGAAGCACAACATAATTGCTGTTCTGCTAATAATGGCGTAAGCATGTAGTACTCGTAAAGTTTTGTTCGGATTACTTAAATTTAAAAAAAAAATAATGTATGGATGAACTAATTTCACTGCCGGATTGTTGCAACTAACCTTTGATGCCCACTTCTGGCGGTCACTCAATACTGCTGTGGCATTTTTTTATTTAGGGTTAAACTTTACGTACCCTTAACGATGAAGTTTGAATGAAAAAATTAAATATGGATAGCCGAGCTTTTACATCAAAACTCACTTTCAGCCGTGCAATCAAACTAGCGATATAGCTCTTGTGTATGTCATTGGGCTCCTCAAACAAGATTCTTCACTGGTAGTGCACTACCTTGTATAAAATTATTCTTGGAATGCTAATCTACCTCATTCAATCAGTGATTCATTTCATTAATCAAACGACCATGGAGCACTTGTACTGCAACATCACTTAAAATATGAAATGAGTTAAAACACATTTTAAAGTTATGACTTACGACACAAGATATGTCAGCTTGATGCATCCATACAGTTACAAATAATCAGTTCCAAAGATTCTAAAATGTACTTATGTAAGCACTGCCAGAAAACATCTAATGTACACAACTTATGCAGCATGGTAACTTTATTCTAACATCTATTCGTTTTTACCTTCTTTATGTTGTTTCATGGTTTCATGGCCTGCAGCTGGATATTACCGCTAATACATTCAAAACTAAGAACATGTAATGCCAGTAAGTAATTTATGGGCTGTACATAAAGCACTTCTATGTGACAGGAAAGAAATCAGAGGTGAAGATATTCCGTAACCTTCGCTATAAATTTCGCGCGTACACTCCATTGTTTTAGCAACCCCATGAATTAATTCTCACTCAATGTCTTTCTAGCCGCTGTGGTCGGCGCTGTCCCACGGGTAAGTGTTTTCCGCATTGTTATATTGGCATTCATTATCGATTTGATTAAGGTACCAACACCCTGTGCATAAGAAAAATAAACACAGTTTTGTTTGGAATCAACTATTAAAGTCGTGCATCGCACCGATATGAGACTCGATAGTCTCCTTAATGCAGGACGTAAATAAAGTGCTTGATGTCGAGTACAGTCGTATTGATCTACAGTATTGCAATATACAAGTTTTTATAGCAATTCGTTCTCGAGCTTTGGCATCAAGCAGATGAAAAGACACCCATAATGTGCCGGGAGTGACAAAACTTGCAATAAACTGCCATTACAACCATTTCTAGAATTCTTGATGAATCATTACCTCATGCTGTTATCTGTATCATCTCTACTGTGACTTAAATTTCGACATGCGATGCCAACAGTAATGGTGGCATGAGCACCTGAAAAATTTATATGGAAGGTATCAAACGGAAGTTTTTTTTGTATTTTGATTGTATCAGGTAACGATAGTTTTGGTCATTTCGTATAGGTGATATTGACATGAAGAAATTTGCGCCAGCTCAAGAATTTCCATGTTTGTTGTGCTTTTTGTATTTCCCTTCAGGCTCGTCGCCAGGCCGTCAGCCTTCCCGACGGCGTCGATCTGCTACTCGGCCGTGCCGTCCAGTCCAACTTCCAGTGCACCCGCGACGGCTACTACGCTGACGTAGAGACCAACTGCCAGGTGTTCCACGTGTGCCGCGGTGTGACCAAGGAGGACGGCAGCATGGACTACGAGCACCACGCTTTCGCCTGCGGCAACCAGACCGTCTTCAACCAGGCTTCCTTCACCTGCGCCTTCACCGAAGAGGCCATCCCGTGCAGCAGCGCCAAGGACTTCTTCTACCTCAACGAGCGTCTCTTCCAGGACAAGGACACCCCCATTCTAGGAGACGAGGAGGCCCAGAAGGCTGCTGAATTCTACCCGGCCCGCGCCGCCGCCGCCGCCGCCGCCAAGGCGTAAAAAAGGCCACATGCGAATGAGTGTGTTAGGACTGAGTGTGAGAGCTTGTACAGTGATACGTAATTAACCGAATGTTGTACAGTGATACGTATTAAATCGGGTATTCCAATTTTGTTGGCGCAATTTTTTAAGTACCCAATTTCAACCATGATGAAGGTCAACCTTCATTCGTACGCTCAGAAAACTTATTCATACGGAAGCCCACTAGCCTCCTCAAGCACGCAATTTGACCCTCGGTGGCAACAATACGTCTTGCAAAAAAACATCATCACGTAATGATGTCCCTATGTGGCACACGATGGCGTTTAAAATAGCCTAACTTTTTGTCACCATGACTTCACGATGACCTGATTGCGATAACACGGCGTCGTATGAGTGTATCACCACAAGATGTCGACGCTTTATCAAAAATTGGCCAATCACGGAAGCAAGGTAGATTACAAAAGGAAGAAAGTCGAAATAAGTGTGACAATTGGCGGATCCTGAAGCTTCGCCTTTAAGAGCTGAAGACAATAACGATATCCTGTCCCTAGTGCGTACTTCAAACACTTAGTGCATTGAATCTTTCCGAATTCGCTCTGCACCCACCACGTGATATTAAAAGAATAGGCGCAGCAAGGTGTGTGCTTTTTGTAGCGGTGACCAGCTTTAAACTAAGTGTAATGATAATTACATGTATTGACACGCCATTCTAATGCAGGCCTGTACATGGCGATATTACTGCAAAATTTCATGTTGTTTTGTGAAGAATGTATACAAGACGCATGCGTTTGTAAAACATGAAAGTTACGTTCTCTCCATTTCGAAGCAGATGATGTTATTTTCACTGTATTCACAGGCAGGCTCAGGACTGTTTGGGAGAACGCCCGCTTACCACGCAAACGACCCAGGTTTAATCCTCACTCGGACCCAGAAACTTTGTCGTTACTATATTTGCATCTGTCTTGATTTTTCTGTCTCACACAGAATGATGATTTCTCGCTCACAATCAATGACGCCGACGCCGGACTTTCTGCGAGATGAGCTCTTTACGTCTGTCACTGAATGCTATCGCTGACTGAGTGTTAAGGAGCTCCGAAAGTTTTGCGACCTATGATCTTCAGTGGTCGTAACTTTACCAAAAAACAAAAGGCATATGATTCCACATCTACCAAACTTTATAAAAGTGTGGTTGTGTTTTTTTGACGGAGCTCGCGGTCCGGCCATGATCAGGCGGAGCTTAAAGTTGTATTTGTATCATTGAGTCTATACATCCACTAAATAGCAAAAAATCGCAAAAATTGCCATCGAAATGTAGCTGTCATTCGTTATATCAACCGGCGATTGATTGTAGTTCAGTATCGATCCGAGTACTTCTATTGAGGAACGTATCCAGGAGAAGTTAACTGATGGCTCTTGCACATTATGCACTGGTGAGCAGTGCTTGTACGCGATAATAGGGCAATGCCAACATCTGCTACACTGTCACTGGACCTGCCACAGGCCAGCAGTTTGTAGTTGTTATACTTTGTCGCACAACCACACACAAAAAAATACACGACAGGTATTCCAGTTCTTGTGACTCATTCTGCAGCCTTCTGCTTTTCTTAAAGTTCATGAATCCTCACGAACTAGCCAGATAAAATTCTTGCTCGTCAACACTCATAGGTGAGCTCAATTTCCCTCATCTAATTCGTATCGTAATACGTAATTCGTCCGTTTATCAACACGGAGCTAAGCCAGAAAACAAACAAAAAACAGAATGTGGCTAACACTGATGCATATTTATGAAGACCTCAATCCTTACTATAATTATGAACGTGAGAAGAAGTCGCTGGTCAAAGTCCCCGATTTTTGGTTAGTCATAGGCATGGACCTACGTATTCGAGCTCAGTGGTCACAGACATATCAAGCTCGGTAAAAAACCAAATATCAAGCGCTGAGATATTTGGTTTTTTTATAGCGTTATGTATTTATAAGCTATTAGAAGATAAAAGTTGAAGGATAAGCATACGCATCGCGTGGTTGTGGGTCCCATTTCCACTTGCAGCGATTGATTTATTTTTCGTTCTAATTAGCGCACATCTGATGATATGAGGGCTTTAACGTCCCAGAACCACCATATAATTATGAAAGAGGCCGTAGTGGAGGGCTCCGGAAATTTCCCACCTCTGGGGTTCTGTAACGTGCGCCCAAATCTAAGCACGCGGGCCTACATCATTTTCGCCTACATCGAAAATGCAGCCAACGCAGCCGGGAATCGATACCGTCACCTGCGGGTTAGCAGCCGAGTACCTTAAGACCCTACACCATCGCGGCGGGGTCATTAGCGTACGTATGCTTCACGTATTAAGTCAGGACATAAAGTCTGAGCTGACACTTGCTTCAAAGATTTCTGTAAAGAGCACTGTGATAAATATACTGTCTAAACTGCAAATGCTTGTTTTTTGTCTTGGTTATCCTTGTTTTATCCAATGCTTCTGCGGCTTTGTAAGCCTCACTTCTAATTCCTACGTGTACGTCGTATTTGCTATAGCGGGGAATAGTGACAGCATTCAATGTTTCCAGAAGAATAGAGGCACTAGCAACAACCGTAGCAAGCACTGGCACTCCGGAATTTAGACTGCTTCGCGTTGCCTAGTTTCCAAGGTCATATAAGTTTACCCCCTTACATTGCCCAAATTGTAATTGCATAACTTTATTTTTCAGTTTTCACTCGTAAGTAAAGAGCCCAAGGTTCGCAGTAATCCGCCTGTGCATAGCAACGACCCAGCAAGCACATCCCGATCACTTTACTCTTTTCGCTACAGCTGTTCCATCTAAACAATAAATGACCGCAGAACGCCACCGAAATAAAAGTGCTTGCCGTCTTACGGCCATTCACACAACTCTTCTCTCGGCTGCCATTCCCTCACCCTATCACCCGCGAGTAATTTGACAAAGCCCGCTAATCGACCCATCTCGTCCATTCCCCCGCTCACGTACGCTGTTCATCCGCGGCAGCTTTGCTTTGAACTCCTTGTGTGAAGGCGGGTCAAGATACCCCTCTCTACGCTGAGTTTCTGCCCTTTCCAGCTGTTTTCCCTTCGACACTCCTTCCACTAATTACGTTCGACCGCGACTCCAAGTTGGTGCGTGGGCAGTGGTGGCCATTGCATACAGGAATCACCGTCCACCACGCTGCGTCTAAATAAATCGCGTTCGCGCGCAAGGTTCTTCAGCCGAACGCGGCCGCGCCACTATGCGGCGTCCGAAGACATTCGGTGCCGCGCTGTTCAGCCATTCTTCCGAGGATTTCCCATGCCCACAGACCAGCTGCCGACACGCGGAAGAGTTTGGGCACACTTCGCTTGAGACAGCACATCGTCCGTGCGTGCCAACACGGAGTGGCCCCGTGCCCTTTGGCAGGATCCCCTCACTGTCCGCCGCCTTCGCAAGTGAGAGTAACGTCACCCGCTTGGCTGTGGGCAACGACGCTGGTGCTTCGGCACGCAGCGTAATATCGGCACGAATACGGATGCTCGACTTTTTAGACGTCCGTGGTTTAGCCGTTACTCTTTGTGTGTGTGTACAGGGAGGAACACGCTCACGACACCCCCATTATGCTCGCGCTTGCGACAGCTCTGTGGAGCGCATGCACAGGTATTTGCGCATCGCCGCAAGCGACACGATAATAGATGGCTGTTGGCTGTGATGAGAAATGCCGGTAAGCCACGTCTCATAGGCTTCTTTTCTGACCGATGCCTATGAGTTGGAACACTTTGTAACGCTCAGATAAGTGAGCAGGAAAATGGGTGTTCAGTGTAGAATCGTGGCAACATACACGACAGCCTGCAACCTGCAAACGCGAAGACGCTTTTTTGCGTGTTCTCTGTGGTTTTTCTATGTCTGTATGCTTTGTCCGTTTATTACTTCGTATTTCTTCTAGCGAAGAGGAAGAGAAAACTGTGGGATAACTGGAGAAGGGCTGCGCGGTAAAAGCTTCACCAGCCGACACTATGACGTATGTGTATTGCAGGCCTCTTCATAATTATGCCTGCAAACTTTATATTTTACCAAGAGCAACATTTTGGTGGCAGCCTCGACTTCACTTTTATGCCATCGGCACGAATACTGTAAATATCGCACACCCAAAAATTATGTGCATCCTGCTTTTGCCATTTCTTGAACATACGTATTCGCCCTTTCTCGGCAAAACTGAGGCGGCAAAATTTTCAAAGTTTAAATATCAAAAGGTTCACGGTGCTACTTCACTCGCTGACAAAGACAATCGATGTAGTTCTAGTATTATAAGCATTTCGAACAATTATTCGGAACTAACACGATGAGTTGGAGCAGGGGTTCATTCTCCTTTCATCTCTTTTATGAATTTAAGGTATGAGGCCAAGTGGAAAATTATTTAGGTGAGCGATAATCACAATAGATTATTATTCCTTAATATAAAGCACATATACCTAAATTCATGTGAGAATTAAAAAAATTGGCAGATCCCACGTACAGTGGGAATCGTTGATATGTGAAGCACGAATGAGACAGGTTGATATGTCACTTTAAAATCAGAACAACGTTACGAGGTGGAGGCAAATGATGCCGTACATGACTTCCGTGTCATGATTATAATCTAAAACGAATAATAGCGCGACGAAAATAGGGACGGGAAACAAAAGACAAACTACTGCGCTGACTCGCAACTAAAGTTTATTCCGAAAAGAAGCTTAATATACGACATCTGAAAAAAGCAAAGCAATGACAAGAAAATAACCATCGCGCCAGCTCAAAGTGACAAAACTCTATGTGGCTATGTGGCTATGTGGCTAGGTGGCTAATGAAACGTGCAAGCTATCTGTGAGATATGAAACTTCTGCACCTGATAGTGTTATGGAAGGCTGGCTGATGCAATTATCACCTTCCAGTGGCATATAAAAAGCTTCCATGATTTCTCGGGACCCTTGGTCTCTGTGGAAGGTTGACATGCATGCCATGACAGTCATGCCATGATTTTCATGTTAGAGTCAGTCACTTGCGTTCGCCATGCAATCATGTCACACCATACCAGTTTTGTAACATGCCATGTGAAAGAAACCACCGCAAAAGCTGCAGCCCCAGGAAATGTAAATCAGGACATTTATGACA